AGCACGCATTTATACAGTTTGTTACAGACAATAATGAGCAACAGTTGCATTTTGTTTATACATAGGTCATTCTGATATCTTGTTTTGCTCTCTAATGTAGTCTACATTCCATATTATCTACACAAGGTCGCAACAACTTCTCACACAGTTCTTTCCCACTCGCCTCACACATTCCTCGCTTCTACAAATCTCGCGTTATTAGGGTTACAGTTAGCCTAACTCTTGCTAATGAACTGTCATGCATTGCATCCCCTTCCTGTCAGTTCTTTCTCTGCTTCCACATGAGTGACAGGAACAAATTCACCCTAGAGTGAGGAGCCAGGACTCTTTATCAAATGCAATGCAATCTTTATACCAAGATTGAGTTTGGCCAAATGAAATGAGAATTTTTTTTATTTGGAATATTCAGAAAGGAGAGTACCAAAGTTGGTAGCCATCCAAACTTTAAGGAAAGTTAACCTAAAAGAGAAATAATCCAAGAAACACTGATTGGAACATTAATTGCATTACATTATTGTTCTTTATAAATTGTAATCTCGGTACAGTTGGTCAGCAGTGTGGATTTCTCAATGTTTAAGAAACACTCCTACTGAAGTATCTAAGGGGTAGCCGAGTTAGTCTGGATCTGTAAAAGAAGCAAAGAGTCCTGTGGCACCTTATAGACTAACAGACATATTGGAGTATGAGCAGTCCCTACGTAAAAGGATAAATGGACACAAATCAGATATTAGGAATGGCAATATACAAAAATCTGTAGGAGAACACTTCAACCTCCCTGGACACACACTAGCAGATTTAAAGGTAGCTAACCTGCAACAAAAAAAATTCAGGACCAGACTGCAAAGAGAAACTGCTGAGCTTCAGTTCATCTGCAAATTTGACACCATCAGCTCAAGTTTAAACAAAGACTGTGAATGGCTAGCCAACTACAAAAGCAATTTCTCCTCCCTTGGTGTTCATACCTCAACTGCTAGAAGAGGGCCTCAACCTCCCTGATTGAACTAACCTCGTTATCTCTAGCCTGACTCACTATTGCTTGCATATTTATACCTGCCCCTGGAAATTTCCACTACATGCATTTGAAGAAGTGGGTATTCACCAATGAAAGCTCGTGCTCCTATACGTCTGTTAGTCTATAAGGTGCCACAGGACTCTTTACTCCTACTGAAGGGATACTGGGTATAGGTGAGCTGGCATTCTTAGGATAAGCCTGTGTTGTGAAGCTCTTTCAGTTTTCTGAAAAGCACTGTCTTACTGAGGGAAACTTAACCATCGGTGTTTCTTCTTATTAAAAGCTTAATGAGGAGGCTAGGAATTCCCAAATAAGCTTTCAGTATAAAAGTGCACAGGTACTTTCCTGCACTAGTTCGGAGGCTCTCTTTCCTAGCTCTTAATTTTTTTTCTCCTCTTTCTCTTCCCTACCTTTCTCACTTCAGGATCCTTTTCACCTTCCTACTCTGTTTTTTTTCTTTCCTTTCCTACACAATCTCTTTGGGTATGTCTACACTACGGGATTATTCCGATCTTACAGAAACCAGTTTTTGGCAACAGGTTGTATAAAGTTGAATGTATGCGGCCACACTAAGCACATTAATTCGGTTTGCGTCCATGTACCGGGGCTAGTGTTGATTTCCGGAGCGTTGCACGGTGGGTAGCTATCCCATAGTTCCAGCAGTCTCTTCCGCCCATTGGAATTCTGGGTTGAGATCCCAATGCCTGATGGGGCCAAAAACATTGTCGCGGGTGGTTCTGGGTACATCCTCCCTCTCCCTCCGGGAAAGCAGCGGCAGACAACCGTTTCGCACCTTTTTCCTGGGTGAACAGTGCAGACGCCATACCGCGGCAAGCATGGAGCCCGCTCAGCTCAAGACAGCAGTCATGAACATTGTAAACACCTCGCGCGTTATCGTGCAGTTTATGCTGAACCAGAACCTGCAAAACCAGGCGATGAGGAGTAGGCAGCGGCAGCACGGTGACGAGAGTGATGAGGACATAGACATGAAATTCTATTAAACGGCGGGCACTGGCGCTTTGAAGATCATGCTGTTAATGGGGCAGGTTCATGCCGTGGAACGCCGATTCTGGGCCCGGGAAACAAGCACAGACTGGTGGGACCAGATAGTGTTGCAGGTGTGGGACGATTCCCAGTGGCTGCAAAACTTTCACATGCATAAGGGCACTTTCATGGAACTTTGTGACTTGCATTCCCTTGCCCTGAAGCGCCAGAATACCAAGATGAGAGCAGCCCTCACAGTTGAGAAGCGAGTGGCGATAGCCCTTTGGAAGCTTGCAACGCCAGACAGCTACCGGTCAGTCAGGAATCAATTTGGAGTGGGAAAATCTACTGTGGGGGCTGCTGTGATGCAAGTAGCCAAAGCAATCACTGAGCTGCTGCTACCAAAGGTAGTGACTCTGGGAAACGTGCAGGTCGTAGTGGATGGCTTTGCTGCAATGGGATTCCCTAAGTGTGGTGGGGCGATAGATGGAACCCATATCCCTATCTTGGCATCGGAGCACCAGGGCAGCCAGTATGTAAACCGCAAGGGGTACTTTTCAATGGTGCTGCAAGCACTGGTGGATGACAATGGACGTTTCACCAACATCAACGTGGGATGGCTGGGAAGGGTTCATGACGCTCGTGTCTTCAGGAACACTAATCTGTTTAAACGGCTGCAGCAAGGGACTTACTTCCCAGACCAGAAAATAACTTGGGGATGTTGAAATGCCTATAGTTATCCTTGGGGACTCAGCCTACCGCTTAATGCCATGGCTCATGAAGCCATACACAGGCAGCCTGGACAGTAGTCAGGACCTGTTCAACTACAGGCTGAGCAAGTGCAGAATGGTGGTAGAATGTGCATTTGGACGTTTAAAAGGTCGCTGGCGCACTTTACGGACTTGCTCAGACCTCAGCCAAACCAATATTCCAGTTGTTATTGCTGCTTGCTGTGTGGTCCACAATCTCTGTGAGAGTAAGGGGGAGACCTTTATGGTGGGGTGGGAGGCTGAGGCAAATCGCCTGGCTGCTGATTACGCGCAGCCAGACACCAGGGTGATTAGAAGAGCACACCAGGAAGCACTGCGCACCAGAGAAGCTTTGAAAACCAGTTTTGTGACTGGCCAGGCTACCGTGTGAACGTTCTGTTTCTCCTTGATGAAAACCCACCCCCTTGATTGACTCATTCTCTGTAAGCAACCCACCCTCCCTCTTTGATCCCAGCTTGCTTTCAAAGGAAAGAAAGTAACTATCATTTAAAAATCATGCATTCTTTATTAATTGATTATAAAAAGAGGGAAAGAACTGACAAGGTAGCCCGGTGGGGTTTGGGAGGAGGATAGGAGGGAAGGAAAAGACCACTAAAAAAGTTCAAAGTAATGACAGCCTTTTGGTTGGGCTGTCCACTGGGGTGGAGTGGGAGGGTGCACGGAGTCCCCCCCCCCATGTTACACGTCTGGGTGAGGAGGCTATGGAACATGGTGAGGGGGGAGGGAGGTTATACAGCGGCAGCAGCGGCACTGTCTGCTCCTGCTGCCGTTCCTGAAGCTCCACCAGACGCCGGAGCATGTCCGTTTGATCATGCAGCAGCCCCAGCGTTGCAGCCTGCCACCTCTCATCTCAAGCATCCCTCATGGCCTCATGTTCACTGGCATCTTTCCTGTACTTTGCTACCATGTCCTTCCACTCATTCAGATGAGCTCTTTCATTGCGGGTGGATTCCATGATTTCGGAGAACATTTCGTCTCGCGTCCTCTTTTTTCGACGCCTTATCTGAGATAGCCTTCAGGATGGAGGAGGGAGGCTTGAAAAATTTGCAGCTGCGGGAGGGAGGGAAAAAAGGGCGAGAAGTATTTAAAAAGATACATTTTACAGAACAATGCTTATACTCTTTCACGGTGAACAGCACTATTCACATTACGTAGCATATGTGATTTCGGTACAAGGTCACATTTTGCATCTTAATATTGAGTGCCTGCGGCTTTGGCGTTAGAGAGCACAAACATGTGCCCATGGTAAGCCATTGTCTTTCGGCTTCTTCAGCTTTCCTACAAGCAGCGCCCTCCTTTCCCACATACCAAGCAAAGCCCGTTGAGTGCAGCAATTTTCCTGTTAACGTGCAGCAGCAGAAACCAAACTAACCCCCCCCCCATCCAATTCTCTGGGATGATCGCTTTATCCTTCCCCCCGCTGCGTGGCTGGTATCAGGGAAGACACCCCCCCCCCCCCGCTTGGCTAACTGCAGGGAAGGATTTCTTTTCAGCCACAGGAACCTCTGTCCCCTTAATTAAATTCCCATATTTCAACCAGGTTACCATGAACGATATCAGTCTCCTGAGGATAACACAGCGAGATAAAGAACGGATATTGCTTGAATGCCAGCAAACACTGGGACCATACGCTGCCAGGCTTTGTCATGCAGTGATACCAGATTACTTGCTACTAGCATGGCGTGGTCAAGTGTCCTACTATGGAGGACGGAATAAGGCTGCACTGCCAAGAAACCTTGTGGAAAGGCTTTTGGAGTACCTCCAGGAGAGCTTCATGGAGATGTCTGGAGGATTTCCGCTCCATCCCCAGACACGTTAACAGACTTTTCCAGTATGCATCCCAAGTCCTCAGGGCTAATTAATCATTAAAAAACACTTGCTTTTAAACCATGTTTTATATTTACAAAGGTACACTCACTGGAGGTCCCTTCCATGGCCTCATTGTCTGGGTGTTGGGAGGGTGCTTCAGTCAGGCTGAGAAGAAGATCCTGGCTGTTGGGGAGAATAGAGTGCTGTGTGCTCTCTGCAAGCTCGTTGTCCTCCTCTTCCCCATCCGCAGAATCCTCAGGCATGGCTGAGATTACCCCCGCCTCGGAATCCACGGTCAGAGGTGGGGTAGTGGTGGCGGCCTCCCCTAGAATTGCATGCAGCTCAGCGTAGAAGCCGCATGTCTGCGGCTCTGACCCGGAGCGACAGTTTGCCTCCTTTGTTTTTTGTTAGGCTTGTCTGATCTCCTTAACTTTCATGCGGCACTGTAGTGAGTCCCTATTGTGGCCTCTCTCCATCATGCCCTTGGAGATTTTTTCAAATGTTTTGGCATTTCGTCTTTTGGAACGTAGTTCTGCTAGCACTGAATCCGCTCCCCATATAGCGATCCGATCCAGTACCTCCCATACGGTCCATGCTGGTCCTCTTTTTCGATTCTCGGACTGCATGGTTACCTGTACTGATGAGCTCTGCATGGTCACCTGTGCTCTGCACGCTGGGCAAATAGGAAATGTAATTCAAAAGTTCGCGGGGCTTTTCCTGTCTACCTGGCCAATGCATCAGAGTTCAGATTGCTGTCCAGAGAGGTCACAATGGTGCACTGTGGGATAGCTCCCGAAGGCCAATACCGTCGAATTGCCGCCACACTAACCCTAATTCGAAATGGCAATACCGATTTCGGCGCTATTCCCCTTGTCGGGGAGGAGTACAGATATTGATATTAAGAGCCCTTTATATCGAAGTAAAGGGCTTCGTTGTGTGGACAGGTGCAGGGTTAATTCGGTTTAACGCTGCTAAATTCGAGATAAACTCCTAGTGTAGACCAGGCCTTTCCTTCTGTTTCTCCTTCTCCTCTTCTCCACATTTTTCCCCTTTGTTCCATTGTAGTAACTTTGGGACAAGCACCTGCTGCCAACCAAGAGGGGTAACGTGAGGGCCTGCAGCTGAGATTCAGCAACATAGAGTGCTGTCCTGGGGAGAGACGGCCAATAAGAGGGCAGCTTGAGTGAGGGGGCTCGGGATCTGCTGGAGAGGAGGTATTTAGAAGAAGCAGGCGAAAAGAGGCATCACTAATGTTAAAAGGGGATTTGCTGAGCAAGCTATATTAGAGGAAGCTGGACCTTGAAGGGCAGCATGCAAGGAGCCTGGCTGCAAGGGACATAGATCGTATGCCTGGTGAGGCTGACCATTGGGACACTGATGGGGTTACAGTTTGGGAAGTTGGGGTGATCCTCCGGCTTGAGGAGCTGTCGTTTGTGGGTGAACCTGTTGGAAAGAGTTGTTGTCATCACGGTGCCAAAGCAAAGGAGCATCACAAGCCGGAGAGAGGAGAAGGCGGGGCAGCTGGAGACGAAGCTGGACTTTGAGGCCAGGGTGACGAGTTGTTGATTCCCTCTTGGAGTGACACAACGTGTTGTTGAAAAAACTTTTTATTGTGATGGTAACTTAGTTTATTTTCCTAAGCAAGTATTTGATGTTACCTTATATTATTTATGTAATTTTATTATTTATATTATTGTTCCTGTCAAATTTCTGGATTTTATTCTTTATAAAGTTTAAAATTTAAGGTCGCCACCATAGCCTAGCTGAGGCCTGGGTCGCTGTTTATAATCTGTGCTTGTTAGTATACATAAACTAGCATCCTTGAAAGCAATAAAGGAATGGGAAATGTTGAAAAAGAGAGGAAGGTGAGAAGGAAGTCATAAATGTTGAGCATTGTTGATGGATTTCTTTAATTAATTTCTGTGCCTGGCTCTGAATTCATCTAGTCTTGGCTATTGATATTGAAACCGTAATTCTTATATCTCCTGATTGTTGTGTTCCAGTGAGTCCCCATTTAATGGATTTCATGCATTTTTATATCTATTATAAATATGTTTAAATGTGACTTATTTTAGGTATGTTGAAATCTAATGTGCCTTTTGGGTCCTCTGCTCCTGTTGGATCTCCACCTCCTGGCACCCATCAGTATAGCCAGACTAACCTCCAGAATGGCCCCCGTTCAACTGGACATCAGCCACACAGGTGATTTGCAAGAAATAGCATGGATCAGATCTAACTTTTTCTTTATATGTTTTTTTCATAGCCGATCCATAGGTATTCAGCCATTTCTGACCCATCTAGCTTGGGGACTGTTCAGTTTCCAGGTTTAGCTTTTTAGTGGGTTGACAGTAAATTTTGGGTCACAAGTTGCTTTGAAATGGTCAGCCAGCCTTCTGGGGATAGGAAAAAGGAGAAAGCGTGCAAGAAGGAGTAGGTAAATTTTAGGGCTGTTGATTAATCACAGTTAACTCATGGGAGAATTTGATGTAAATCAGGAAGACTCGATTTAATCATGGATTTCTACATAAAAGTGCATTCTTGTTAATGTTATAACATTAATACATATTCTTCACAACTCAGAGATAGATGTAGGTTTAATTTGGAGAAGGTACACCCTATACATTTTTTAAGTAATTTATTTTGAAAACTTTTCAAAATAAGTTTTACAGTTATATCAGAAAACGAATGATTGTTGAGTTATTTTATTTAACAAAGGTAATTGAAGCAGATATTGATGAAGTCATTGGGCGGTGAACTATCTCCAGTTCAACAGGTTAAGCATTAATATTTGGAGGATTTTCTTCCAAGCTGTATTAGGAGGAGAACATCACCAGACAGACATTTTAAATTGTTTTATTTAACTAAAACAACAATGCTGTGTATTCTGGATTGTTTTCTTCAACAGCAAACATAATATTTTAACAAAACAAGCATAGGAATTTTTGAATTTAGTTAAACATTCAAGTTTTTTAAAATCAGGTTTGTTTTTGTTAAAATTGTTTTTAACTAAAATAGTAAAATGAAATATTTAAAAAACAAAACAAAACACAAAAATTAAATCGACCATATCAGCCAGGTAACATGAGAAACTTAAAATATTGGCTTTTGCAGCTAACTTAGTTGTCTTCACCTTCATTTTTCTGTTTGTTCATAATCTGGAAAAGAAAAACAAGATTTCCTGCTTTTTCTGGTCCCAAACGATTTCTCAGTTTGGAATTAATTAATCCAAAGGAAGAAAATATTCTTTCTACACTGGCAGAAGAAGCTACTGCTGTTAAAAGTGAGATTGTTACTTTAGCAGTCTCTGAATCCAAGTGCTTGTGTGACTTCCACCAGTTCACTGGTGTGACTTTCTTTAAAACATCATCAGCAAACATATATTTCTTGAATGCTTCACCCTTGGCTCTGAAGTGTATTATAGTTGGCATTATGGAGGGATGATTGCTGGATGTCCATGGCATAGGCAACTCCTCTTCTTCAGCAGTTAAGGTTTGACCCTGGTACTGAGTATTGACACTATTTGCAAGAAGATGAGCTGGAGATGGTGCTTGTCCCATTCGTTGTTTTTAATGCTTGTAATTTAACTCCATCATTGCATATTTCTCTTTTTAAGATCTCACTCAGTTCCTTCCAAATTCAACAGCATCAGCAATAAAACAGCTATTTCCCTGCTTTTTGTTCAAGGCTACAGAAATAGACTTCAGGATACTCAGCATATGTTCAACATTTCTCTTAAGCCCAATGTTCAGAACTTTGGCTGTGACAGTGCCGTCTATTTTTTCACGATTTTGTTCACAAACTGTCATCAGATTAGGTCAGTTCTTGATATAGTGCTCAAAACAGTCCACTACTGAGTTCCATCACACGTCTTGTGGGAGAGTTAGCTTGGTTCCTCCCACTTTTTTCAGAGCAGCTGCTGCAAAGTGGTTGTTACAGAAGTATTTTGCAATTTCAACATTAGCCTTTATTTCTGGAACACTAAAGTCTTTGGCTAGGAGGTGCATCAAATGAGCACTGCAATTGTATGTTATTAGCTTGGAACTCTCTTCTAAACTTCTTCTCATCTTGGATACATTTACAGCATTGTCTGTGACCAAGCTACATCTGAGACATTTGAATTTTTTTTCACTGTTTGTTATAGCTTTTACTGCTACTTCTTGTAAGTATTCTACTGTGTGTGTATTTCCTAATGTATCAATTGTTTCTGTAAGGAAGACATTCCCTTCTTCTGTTGTCACACAAGCACATACAACAGGATCATTGTGGACACTGCGCCACCCATCAAGACTTAGGTTAACAATTTCACCCTCTAGACCTTTAGCACCTGCTCAATTTCTCTTTCATTCACTTTTTCCAGCAATTTGCATGCAACATCTGCTCTGTTGGGTGGACTGTATCCTGGTCTTAATGACTGAACCATATTAATGAAGTGTGGGTTCTCAATCGTACATAAAGGAGAGTTTGCTGCATAAACAAACCAGGCAATTTTTTCATCAATTACATCTTTTTGTAATCTGCTGGTTCTCATCACAAACTTATCTATGGTTGTTCTTGGATGATGGAGATTTTTTTTTTCTTTTTGCTACAGGTGGCTATTTACTGTGGCTATGTGATGATATGACTGAAACACTATCATTCGCAGATAACTCTGAAACTATAGAAAATGATGGTGATCTTGAAGGTGGATAGTCTTCCGAATCCTGTATGTTGAGGATGGATTCTCCTAAACAAAATAAGTCAATTCAGTATTATTACCATAGTGCTCATTTAGTATTACTCATTGCATTCACTGACACTCAGTACTACTTTAAAGGTGAAATTGTAAAAGGAAGATCTGCCTATTTCAGCTATTTATTTTTTATCACAACCGCATCTAAAATGATAGTACCATAGAGTAACAACTATATTTTTTGCTCAAACATGAGAATTCAAGAATAGTCCAGAAGGACGACAGGAATTCCTTACAAAAGAAGTATGAAATAAAAATTTTTACCAACCTGAAGACCCTGCATGTTAGGACATGTTCCTTTCATCATCTTCAACTCAGCTTCCTCCTGAGAAGGAATGCTTCTCATGATGTTGTTTCATTCGGACAAACAGGTCTTGCATTTCTTTGTTACACTGTTTGCATTTTGCACACATCCCTGTCTTACCCATAGGTAGAGGAACTTCATTAAAATATTCCCAAGCTGGGTCTCTTTTACGGCCTGCTGCCATTATAGTTTTTCCCTTCTACTGAGAGACAAGTATGTTAGATCTCAAATCAATGAAGGCTACACTCAGAAAGACCTCAAGACTTCTGGAATATTCTGCTCAAACAGTTTCACTGTTGTTTCTACTGCCTGTCCCTCCCTTCTCACATTTATCTTCAGACTTCATCTCCTTGTCCAGATCTATTCCGCCCCAACAATCTTCTATTCATTGAACTTTTTGAAACTTTGCACTTTTAGAGAGAGGTAAGGGATTGACTCTGTGTACACAAATTTGCAGAGGGACAATAGGGTTGAGGTCTGTTATTTCTCACCTCTATATATTATTTATTTAAAAACATTTTTGCTGTTAACAAGCATGTTATCTCTGGAGACACAAATCCACAGTTTGAGAACTGCAAAACTAAGCATCTCTGACTGAGCACTGAGTCCCATTGGGTAGATAGATTAAATAATCTGTACAGAAGCCCTGGCACCCCATAAGATTGGGTCCCTAATCCATGATCTATTGGAACTCATTTACAGAACTTTTCTTAAACATTACATGAATATATTGTCTCAGACTATAGAATTAGAATTTATAAAGTGAGCACTGTACACTTTGTATTCTGTCTTATAATTGAAATCAACATATTTGAAAATCTAGAAAACATCCAAAAATATTTCAATAAATGGTATTCTATTATTGTTTAACAGCATGATTAATCACAGTTAATTTTTTTAAATTGCACTTAATTGCAATTAATTTTTTTAATCTCTTGAGAGCCCTAGTAAATTTACAAGTAAATTGGGAACTATTCTTCTATTCCCAACTTCTGTTTGGAACTATTTTTAAGGTGGAAGCATAGATTGCATAAACAACCCAAGATTATAGTTTAAAAATATTTGTATTAAAAAAATTACAATTAAAAGCTTTATTGTAATAGCAATAATTTATTCACTGTGCACATTAATATGCTACTGGTGCTGGGTTATTGGTATATTTAGGCGATTGAAGGCAATTGGCTTTTGTCCTTTTTCTTGCAATACGTCCATGCTGGGCACCAATAGACTTCTCATGCTCATTATTGTATAATAATGCATTCTGCTTTTCAGAGGAACAAGTCAGACCAGCTGTTTCAAATGAATCTTGTGCTCTGGAATGGCTATTGGGGTTAGAAGTGTAAATCTGATTCACTGGGGGAAAACACTGATCTTTGGATTCCTGGATCAAGTAACTATCTAATGTAGACTGAGGAATAATTTGGACCATGTGTTTCATACAACCTTTATGTAGGATATATTCCCTGAGTAGAGAATCACCTTTGACCTTTTTTTCTCTGTCTGATTAGAAATATAAAAATAGAAAGTGAACCAGCACTGAGAAAAGCTTTAGTATTATTACACTTTTTTGTCTCCTCTACTTGGAGGAGACAAAGGCAACAAACAGGTGTTAGAAATACCGTCTGTTATAGAAATTACATTAATTTTCTGTATCTTTCTGTATCAAGTTTTCTTCTTATGACTAGAACCTCTTGGTTTGTCATATAATGATGAATGCATTACATCAGTTACCAGCTAATAGAGAGTAGAAGCTTGTGCATGTCTGTGCATCAATATTCAGTTTGCCTGTTTAGCAATTTCTTTAAGCCAGCTTCCAACATCACAGACAAAACTCAACAGGATGCCCTAAAGATATAATGAGGCTTTCTCAAATTCTTGGAGGCTGGTGGCTGCCTTCTCTGTGATTTACTTTGGACAGGAAGGTTGATGTTTGGTGAGCTTTGCTAGATGTTTGGGGAAAGTAGAGCGAAGAGAAAGGGTTACATGAAGGGGTAGAACAAGAAGAGTGTGAAATAAAGTAGGGAAAAGATAAAATGAAAATGGCAGGAGGGATAAGAAGGAGAATGTGAAGGAAGATAATGAAGAGAGATGAAGATGATGGAGAAAGTTGACCATAGAGTGGTTCAGTAGCATAATTCGTAGTTTGTATAGTTATAAATAAAAATGTGTATAGCTGCCTTAGAAAAAAACAAAAATAGCTTGAATAAAATGGCTTCCAAGGAGTAACAAAAAAAAAAAGAACTGTATGGTAAGCTTCTAAATTCTTAGCTGTAACTATTTTTGGTTGCATGTTTTTTATTAATTTGGTGCTGTCTAGCAGCAATGTCTTAAAGATCAGTGAGTCAAACTACTAATGTCTTCACATTTCTATTTTAGTTGTCATCCAGATATATTTGTTAATAGTTTATTTTAAATAAAAATGTATTTGTGTGTTTTAATTAGATATCTAAATTAGGAAGTTTCAGTTATTGTTAGTATTGTGGTAGAATCTAGAGGCACCAGCTCATATTGAAGCCCCATTGTACCATGCCCAAACACTTTTAGTGAGAGTCAGTTCCTGCTCTGAATAGCTTGCGGTGTACATAGACAAAGAATCAGGGACACAGACTAGCGAGGTGACTGACCTAATGTCTCACAGCAGGTCAGTGGTGATGCCAGAACTAGAACTTATACCAGTCCTGACTCCCAGTCCTTTACTTCATCTGCTGTGTGCTATGTACTTATCCTATCCTTATGTACTGTAAATAGTCTCACATTAGAAAGAACTGGTATTGTAATTCAGGACAAAATAGAACAAAATAGCAAGAAAACAAAGTTATATTTCACTTAAAGGAAAGAGAGGTCCCTTCATGTTTAGAGGTGAAGTATGGTCAGAACAGTGTAGAAGACCAGAACAGCACCCACTGCTTCCCACACACAGGCTGTTCCTCCTTCCTCCACATACAAAGATTCTTCAGCTCTCTCTCTCCCACAGCCTGATACACACTCACACTCACACTCACACTCTCTCTCTCTCTCTCTCCCCTTGTTAATACAGTAGGAATCTTCCTCATCCACCCAAAACTAAGGCTGTCCCCTTGTCCCCCACAGGTGGAAAAGGGGTCAGATGATTTGACATTTGGGTTCAGAATTTCAAAAGAACTTCTAAAACCGCACCAGCAAAATCTTACATACAGGCCCCCTCAGGTTTAATTGCTTCTAACATGTAATTATGTGTGCAAATGAATACTTGCTCTCTGTATAGGTACACCGTTTCCTCTCTGTGCACTCTTCATTTCTATTGTAATAAAAATATACTTTGTGTGGGGACAGTCTGAGGAGACTTCTTTGTAATTTTGGCCCTTATTTTGGCCAGTGTCATTTGTGACACTTTCAGTGTCATTTGTGAGGAGATATTAGACTTTCTGGGTTGTGATTGGCTGAGGTGATTTATTTATATATATATTAAAAACATAAATTAATTTCTCTTTTCAGGTTTCAAGGCCCTTCACCTCACAACAATGCAGCACCTTCCTATCCCCCGTATTGTCCTCAGTCACAGCCATCCTATCCAAATAGTGCATCCTCTTCATCCACAACACAACTGGCTAATCAGCTCAGCACCCTGCAGATAAATAACTATGGTAATGGTTGCGTTATTTATCCATTTTTGTAAAATATGATGAAAGAGCCAACAATGTATCTATTTTGATTTTTTTAATATTGTTAAATAAGTCAAAAGTAAACTATAGATTGCTCTTTGAGACCACCGTGTTGAGCATTGTTACTTACTCAGGTTCCTAAATGTCAGTCTCATCCTGCTCCTTCAAGTGTGTCTACCTTTAAATGTTCTTGTAAGAACCATATAGGGCAGTAGTTTTCAACCTGTGGTCCACAGACTCCAAGGGGTCCACAGATTGTCTAAGATTTCCAAAGGGGACTGCACCTCCATTTGAACATTTTTAGGGGGTCTGCAAATGAAAAATGTTTGAAAACCAATGATATAGCCTGAAGATTTCAAAAGTGCTGAGTGCTAGCTTAACTGTGCTGTCATTAAAGGTAATAGCAAAATTCCCATTGACTTCTGTAGAAATAAAGTTAGGACAACACTATGAACTTTTAAAAATTCCACCTTACTGTTTATCAAGCATTCTTTGTGTTAGATATTTTCCATAATGCTGCGTGTTAAATCAGCATGTCTTGGTATTTAATTGCTATTCCCACTAATGGATATTGAGACTAATTTTAGAAACTTGTCTTTTTAAAGTTTGATTCGTCTTTGAAAGTGACTGTAAAAAAAAAAAAATTAAACTCAACAGATGTGCTCCCTGGGTGTACTGAAAGTCATCTGCTCACTTTAGAGTGTATTATGTCTTTACTCCTATTAACACTGTAGAATGAACGCAGCTATGAGAGGAGTGAGCTGGACTCTATTCTTGCTTGCATAACATCATCAGAATTGTTAACAAAGGTCTACTTAAGGGCTTTATTGTGCCCTCATTTACAACTGTGCATCCATGCTGAAGACAACGGTGTTGCATAATTTGAAGACAGTTACATTGCATAGTTATAATGAAATCAGAATTTGGCCTGTAGAATCTTTTACCAATAATGGTGTTTGAGAATGAAAGAGCCCAGCTTGACTTTCAGATCCCAGGGTGAATTTGTAGTGCTGCCAATTTGAAAAAAACTCTTTTTTTTTATTTGTAAATCAAGGAAACTTGAACTGAAGTTACTGGGACACAATAATCATGGGACTCCTTTTGTCATTTTTTTAGTTACTTTTCAGGGTTGACCCGCACTTTAGTTTGATGTACAAGTAATTAATAATGGGGTTGCATAATTCACTAGCATAGCAGTACACAGACTTACCTTCCAGTGATGTTTTTAATAATAACATCATAATAATAATAATCCTGCTTTTAAAAGACCTGTTTCTGAAAGCAGATAACATAGGCATGAATTTTATGACATTAGAAAGGTAATCAGGAGCTAAACCCTTTGTGCTTTTTACAGTAATAGCGCCATTTTATAGGGAACCTTGGAGAGTCATTGTGCCAACCTCTGTGCTGGCTGGCAGGTTCCCATATGCATTCATTTTACTTGCACTGGAAGAGAGCGAGTGATATCCTTCTAGGCATATCTTTAAAAGTTTGATAATTTGATTTCTACAATAGCAACCAAAACCCCCCAAAACTTGAATGCAAAGTAGAACAAAATCTGTCAAAACAAATTAGTTGCTAAGGTCCACATTTTCACATGTTGGTGCCTATTCTCTTTTCACAAAACATCTGTGTGAAACATTTGGTTCTGCAAATTTTGGGTTTGTGCAAGGAGACCACTACATAGATGTGCAGTTTTCTAATATGGCATGCAAATGAAAGACTTTCATTTGCAAGCAAGCTGTGTGAGTGCCCAGAACTCACCCCTTCCGTGTTGGGGACTGAACTCTGAGGGTTTGGGAAATATCTGTTGTAAAATCATTTTCTGGATGAAGTAGGGATCCAAGAAATTACCAAATAAGATTTATAACTATGCTATGTTATGGTCATGATCCAAATTCTGTGGCCTTTCATCAAGCAAAACTTGGGTCATTGGGAGTTTTGCTCTATTTAGGAATGGAGAATTTGGCTCTATGACAATAAGAAAGTACATGTATTTTCTTACCTACTCAAGTTGATAAAGTTCCTCTGGAATGAGGATTATATTGGGATCATATAAGAAATACTGTGCTAATACAATTAGGGATCACATAATAATGAGAGGTTTCAGAGTAGCAGCCTTGTTAGTCTGTATTTGCAAAAAGAACAGGAGTACTTGTGGCACCTTAAAGACAAATAAATAAATAAATTTTAATTTGTTAATTTATTTTATTTTATGCTCAAATAAATTTGTTAGTCTCTAAAGTGCCACAAGTACTCCTGTTCTTTTTGCTGATAATAATGAGAGTTATTTTATATTATGTTACTAAACCTGTTTTCAGCTGTACTGGAGCTACCACTGGGTTCTTGTTGAAATATCAACTCTCACATTAGTTTTTGTGCTCTTTGACTCTGTTGCTTATGTCTTGCCCATTGTTCATAACCACAGTTACTGTTTCCCAGCTTCAGGAGGATCTTTCTGTTTTGATAGTACTTTGTTCTATTTCCAGCAAAGATTTGTTGGTTTTTGTGTGTTTTTTATTTTTTAATAGTAGAGTTTAAATTTAGTGTGTATGCAAACCTCTCATCGACTTCAATTGGTTGGTTCTGTAGACCTACTGAAAGTTAGAGAATGCAAACTTAGGGGCTGATCTCATTCATATCAGTTTGGAATTTATCATTGACTTGAATAAGAGCAGGACTGGGCTCCCATCTCTGTTTGTGTGTCTTATTTTGTTTTTTTGACCGTCACCTGCATTGTTTAGAAGGATGAATGTATTAAAATTGAGATTGAGAACAACTACAAAGTGGTATGATACCAGATAAAACCTTCCAAATTGAGGACTAGATCCCTAGCTAGCATAAGTTCACCATTGTCTTTACTAGTTGCTGATTCCAATGAAATGAAACCAGTTATGCTAACTGAGGATCTTGCCCTCAGTTTGTGCAGTTAATCACAAAGATGGGTGCCTTTTAAAACATTCCTTAGTCTAACAGATTAAATTCACCCCGGTGTATTGAGAGTGCAAATGCACAGTGATATTATGCCTGCTTTACACAGGGCTAGATTTGGTCCAGCATTTTTACGATACTTCTGAGAGATGTTTCAGACTAGTCAAAAAGCATTGATTTGTGTTACTGTTAATAGCATGCCTTTGAAAATGATTGTGTAGAAAATAGTTTTTTACCATTTCCCTCTCATTTAAATGTAGACCTTAAATACTCTTTAGTCTACTGAAGGTATAAGTTTTACACTGCTCTGTTTCTCCTACTTACGGTGTACTACTTCTGGCTGCCAGTCCTGGTGCTCCGTAAGTAGCACATTCCTACGGGGAGCAATTTAATACACTGCACCCGGCGGCTCTCGCAGCCCCGTTGCCCAGAGTGCTGACGGCAGGCGAGCTGAGGCTGCGGGGGAGGGACTGGGCAGGATGGTCCCATGGGCCATACTTTGCCCACCTCTGCTTTGGAGGCACTATCAGTTTAAATTACAGTATTCATACATGGGCTGAAAATATATTAGCAACTAATAACATTAAATGGTTTAGTATGTTATCATTTTCAAATCGTTGGGTGTATAACAGTAATGTTCTTGCACAGGTCCTGGTGCTTCTCAGAGTTCTCTCATGCCTTCTGGGATTCCAACATCTTTTCAAGGTTCATGTCCTCCTCCACCACCACCAACACAGCAGCAAATGGCCTTGCCACCTGGATCTCAGATTTCTCCAGCACCAGCAAATAATCTGAATGGCGTTTGTACTCCACCCTCACTGCCTCCAATGGCTATGCAGGATGGGATTCCTGGATCTGTACCCCCAAATGCCAACTTGCAGCAACTTCCAGGACAACCCCCAGTGCCTGGGTATCATCCACAGCATGGTAAAGATGGACGTTTGGTTTCTTATTAAAAAACAAGCATTAAATATTGTGCATTAGAACTGCTGCCATCTCATGAGTAAAGCTGAAACTAAAGGTGTAGTTTCATTTTTGACACGTAGGGCCTAATCAGTCATGGGAGGCATTGCTGACTACACCACAGCAGCCACATGCAGGAGGGACTTTGGTACCTGTACATGTCATGCTTAATTTTAGGCTTATCCTTCAAACAATGAATCATGGGTATAAAAGTGCAGGTGCTTTTAATTGCACTTGTAAAACTGTATCTACAAAAATAGAAGTCCGGTTAAGGCCTGATGCAAAATTCGGCTATATCACATTATAAAACTACTTTCTCTCCCTTTTTGTGGGAGGGGAGAAACTGAGCTGCAAAGTGTGGGGTTTTGGGGTTGTTTTTTTTTTTTTTAATAATCATAAATACTATTTAAGGGAGATTTTTCTCTTTCCATCTCCTCATCCTCTCCCACAAAGAAAGCACATTTTGCGGGAAGTGGGGAAATACACTATATTTTATTTTAGTAAGATATGTATGGCAAGATAAAATGCCCAGATATTAGATGGAACAATGTAAGAGCTTCATGACAGAGTTTTAACACTTTAAATTTGATGAATGGGCTTTTGTAATTCTGCAGCCAACTATGGCCCTCAGATGGCAGGCTCTCAGCTCTCTTATCCTGGTGCCTTTCCTGGGGGCCCAGGACAGCTTGCTGGTCCACAGCAGAGGAAGCTTGATCCTGACTCCATCCCAAGCCCCGTAAGTAATAGTGTATTTAGTTTCTAGTGAATGCTTTCATATTAGAATGTTACAAAGAACTATCAAAGCTAACTTTGTGTTTTTATGTTATGGGTTTTTTTAGACTTCTAAAATGTGCTGTGCCACATGGCTCATAGAATAAGTTCATAATGTAACATAATTCTTTAATTATGTGGTATTCTGTACTTAAAGGGGTTATGTTGTCACTTTTAGATTAAGTGGCAGCCGTGTGTAGCTTTAGTGCCATTTTTGGAAAATATCCATGAATCTTATCAGAAAATTAGTGTAGACTTTCTACTCTAATTCATTGCTTTTTTTAATGTGACTTCTCCTCTGTAATATTACAGTATAGTTCCCTTCAGCAACACCTGATCTGTTCCCAGGGATTCATACACACAATTCTGCTTTGAGCAGGGGGTTGGACTAGATGACCTCCTGAGGTCCCTTCCAACCCTGATATTCTATGATTAATTACTACTCGCAAACTTTTCAAATAAACCACCATCTCCTGTTACTCCAGGAAGATCTAAAACTTTAATTGTATCTGAAATACTATCATTTGAACTAAATGCCCAGAGGATTGGAAAAATCATCCAAAGCATCAGTGGGGATCTGTACATGATGGACAATGAAGCAGTAGGATGTACAGGCCTATTCTATTGTTGAATTAAAATGGCTTTGGAAAAACTTTTCTACTATGTGCCTGATTCCCCCCCCCCCTTTCTTTTACACTGTTGAAGGTAGTGGAGTTACTCTTTATTTACATGTGTTTGAGTGAGATCAGAATCAAGCCCTACATGTTAAGGAAAATGTACAAAAAGTTTTGAACTGTATTTAATCTCTTGGCTGGTCATCTCCCCTGTTACAATAAATTATTTACTCAGCCACTAATTGCTAATAAGATTTCACACTCATCTAGAAATGCTTTATGTTCAGAGACCTCTTTAACTATCCACTGTTACTGACAAGAGCCCTGTGGAGTCTCACCTTGCACAGCTAACTGGTCTATTAGTTCCCCAATTTTATATATTATGTACTTACAGTTTTTACTGTCCTTCCATAAAAAAGGAGCATCTATTCTTTGCTCTTTGACACTTCTTAATAATACAGCTATGCAAATGAACTACTTCAGGAGCTCCCCTCTGCCCTATCATTAATGTAACTCATAAGCCAGCAACTGAACACATTTCTCATCTTTTATGTTCTTCTGCCAGAATCGTCCTAGACTCCCTTTGCTTGGGCAAGCCAACAAACTGAGGACAATATTGGACCAGAGGAGAGGGGGGAAGTGAGGGGTGGGAAAACAAATTCCAAAGCTGAGGAGCCTTTGCTGAGGATATGCTGTTGGGTGACAGAGTGCAGCCCTGTGTTTGAGTGGGGCTCCAGCTCAGGCACCTATCCTGACCACAACTCCGAAAGTATGGCGAAAGAAGAGGCAGAAAAGTGACTGGCTGAAGAGCAGAGAAATATGGGAATCAAGATTAAAATTTGGAGTTTCCTGGTTCATGGTCCTGTACTCAAACCACTCTTGTTAAATTAGGAACTTGTAGTAGTGAGGCTGTCTATAGTATGTTTATAAACAAGCCTTTCTGTTCTGTGCACAGAAGATATGCAGGAACACCTCGTGAATCACAATGAACAGTGATTATTTTTCCACTAAGCCTATTGACAAGTAAGATTTCGTAGATAGCAAGTTGCTGCTTTTGGCACCTTTGATTGCATATTAGATTAGAGTTCATTTAATTTTTTTTCTGAATCTCAAATAGTATCCCTGGGCTCCATTATAAATTAATACTGTAAAACAATTGTGTTTCTGTTACTGGCATACACTGTGAGGTTGTAGCACTACTGTAAGAACCATTGAGGCATGAATGATAAATTCCACTGTGGACTTGAGTTCGGTATTCCAAGGATTGCAAATGTATTCCATGAGCATTCTGACAACAGCCATTGTGCCTGTCTTATTAAAAATAGCTTGCACTTAGTTCAAGGAGGAATATTTTTTTTGCATTGGATATAATTGCATTGTATTATTGTTACATTGTTCTAGTTCTTTATATTTCAACATCTTCGAGAAATTTGAAGTAGACTGAACTGCTAGGTTTCCCTCTTTTGCACATTTGTACCACTGAAATATTTGTGATATTTTGTCTTGGACTTAAATGCATATATCTATTAGCTCAAAAATGTTAAAGGGTGTGATTTCAAAAGCACCTAGGTCAATTAGGAATTCAAGTCCTGCTTGAAGATCAATGGGACTTATGCTCAGAAGTCACTCTTACCCAGATTCTCAAAGGATTTAGATGCCTAGCTCGCACTGGAAGTTAGGGGCCTAAATACCTTTGAAGATCTGAGCTTTAGGCACTTGTGAAAACCTGACCCCAAAGCCACAAATAGACAGACAGCTGCACTATGAACTATGTATCCGTGGAATCTCATGTGTGTTTTCCACCATATGTAAGGAAGAATTTACATTAAAGAAATATATTGTTAATACTCCATGAAACAGTGTATAGCTGCAGGGGCAGGAGGCTAAGGCCACTCCCTTGATCAGTTCAGACTCTGGGTGGTCTTCAGGCATGGATGAAGATGATGTGTAACAGTTGACACTGGAGAGAAGGAACCTTGAGGGAAAGGATTCTCTGTTGCTCACTTCAGATGTAACTAAGTGTGACAAACTATTATTTAAAAAATATAAGTGTTTTTATGACTTTTAAGTGTAGGCGTTGCCTTTAATAGGTAAGTCATCTCACCATTTCCCATAAAGCAGGATAACGTTACAATTCTATCTAAAAAAATATCCCTGGAATAATCTGATGTCTTGTTTCAGTTACCCTAGGAGAATAAACAAACTTGACAGTGACAGCAATGTTAAAAAAATGTTGTTAAATGGTTTGTTTTAGCAGCACAGTAAGGATCAGAACTGCATGTTTAAAAGAAAAGAGATCTGGGTCAGTGACTGTAAAGGGCAAAGAGCTAATTGAAAATGAGGGATAAATATCTCTGTGTGTGTGTTATGTTTATATTATAAAATTACAATAGTGTTGCCAGCTAAATGCTTTTTTATGTATAGCCAATGTTGATTAGATTTTCCTACAAGATTCATCTGTGCTCTAAAAACATCTATGAAATGCAGCATCTGTACTTTGTCAACAACTAGTTCCAAGAATAATGATATATTTAGGTCAGTTAACTCTTGAGAGTACAGTTTACATGCGTTTTCTACAGAGTTCAGTCTGAAAAAGGTTCACTTTCTTCAGCCAATGGACTTTTTTTGGAGTAAATAATTGGTTTGTTTTCCCTTTATGCAAGCAGCTAGCAATAGGTACACAAGCTGAAGAGTAGAGAGGAAGTCAAGCAAGCTAAAAATGCAATACAGAAATGTAGCCATTTAAAGGGACAGAGTCAGTTACACTGGGAAAGGTTCAAAATGATACTTGCCCCCAAGATTTTTCCAGTGTTTTGGGAATAGCTTTTGAATAAAAGTCAGTGGGCTCTATCCTGATGTATTTGCCTCTATCTCTGCTGTCTGACAGAGGCTTCATGAGTCTCCCAACCGCAGTTAAATTTCAGGTGCAAGCTAAACTGCTATAAACCAGGCTTAAATAAATGTAAGAATGTCCACACACAACTCTCCAGTTTAGCTAAATCTGTTCAACAGAACACCTTTAGTTAAATCGGTCCCAGTTTTGTATTTTAGATGGGGCCGAAGAAGCAACTTGTCATGCTAATTTTGGCCTCAAGTGGCTATTAATTTCTGTGTCCACCGCAGGGGCAGATTTACAATTTCACGCAGCGTGACAATTTGCCTCTTGGAGGCAGCTGCTGGCTGTAGAAGACTTGCCAGCTTGGCTTTTCTGCTGTTTGTTATTCAGGGAGAAAAGGTTCTCCTTTCAGTGGAGAACTTTGCTGAGATTGCTTCCCCATTAGTCCATTTCTGAGAGTTTTCCTGCAGAAGAGGGAGTTGAGCATTGACTGTCTGACATTCTTGGTTTGCCCATTATCCAGGTCTACTATGACAAAGTTCAACCCTAGGCAAATAGGAACTAAGAAGGTGCATAAAAGAGTTATGGATATAGATATATGTATATTATTGTTTTAATCCTCTTTGGACAATACATGCTACAATATACTCCTTGTCTACTATGCACATCTGTATAGATAATGAATGCTAATAGGGTTACCTGTAAACTCTGTATGAAATTGAGGAAATCCATAGTCTACCCTATTTCATGTTTTTCTCTTTATTTCTGATTCTTCAGATTCAAGTAATTGAAAATGATAAGGCTTCCAGAGGAGGTCAAATCTATGCTACAAACATCAGAGGCCAAGTTCCTCCTCTTGTCACCACAGATTGTGTGATCCAAGATCAAGGTAACTATTTGTGGGATCACTTTGGGTTTTTTACTAGTTGAAATGAAGTTAAAAAAACAATTATCAACTGAAATTTTCAAATTTGGTTGCTTAAAATTATGCTCCCAAACCCATAATTAAGCACCTAGACAAAGGTGGTGGCATGACTTTCAAAAATGCAAAGAGCTCCTGAACCTCTCATTAATTTCAATGGAATATATGACAGGTTTCAG